CTGGCCCGCCAGAGGCTCGCGCTGGACACGCCCGCAAGTGTGGCCTCGAAATAATCCTTGGGGCGGCCGGGGCCTGTGGGCGGGCTGCGGCCGGAGTGGGTGCGCGTGCTGGACTTGGGGAGACGGCTGACGGTGAAGTGGTGCTCTCGTCAGGTTTCTCCGCACACGCCTTTTTCATTGTTTCCCAAATCAGAATCGGTTCCAGGTTTAAAGTCTTAAGGAATTCCCTTTTGTCCCAGAATAGAGTCCCGATTATTATATTTTTATTTATTTGTTTGAGAGAAGGACTCACTGTGTATCCCAGGCTGGTCTTGTATTCACTATGTAGATCAAGCTGGCCTCAAACTCGGGGTGATTGTGTCTCAGCTTCCCAAGTGCTGGGATCACAGGCATGTGCCACTACGTCAGGATCGAAGGTGGCCTTTTAAAGATCTGAACTTGCCGAAATTCACCATTTTTCCTCACTCTGCATTATAACCTCAAAGTAAACTTGAATTTTCCTTCGCTCCCTGGCTGCCACTTTTGTTCTTCCTTCCAGGAAAATACCGGTCAGTCTCTCAAAGCTCCGGATCTCTCTTGTGAGAGCCTGTTTTTGACTCTGATCCCTGAGGTGGTTTCTTATCTCTGTCGGGCTTCCACTTTGCATAAGTCTCCGTTGAGGTCTACTAAAGCATCCTCCTTTAGACGTTTGCCTTTCCTGCTCCGGATGGGCATTAACCTGGAGGATGTGATTCTTAATTTTGCATCACTGGTACTTAGTCCAGCGCCTAGCATGCACTCACTGCTTCGTGTTTATCAGATTATGAAGTGAGTGATTGAATTGTGGGCTTGGGCTTCAAAGGGTAATGAGGAACCGGGAAAATAGAAACATAGCCTGTATTAGTAGGTAGGTGTGAGGTGACCAAAGACGCTCACGCGGTGATCAGACCTTGTATTCCTTTATTGTCTATTTTTTTTTCCATTATCGCATGCGGTGATCAGACCTTGTTGTATTCCTTTGTCTGTTTTATCGCCTGCTGCCTTGTGTTTTTTTGTCCATTCAAACTTTAAAATCAACTACTGTGTGCCATCTCTCTTGTTGGTCCTGACATAGAGATTAACAAAAGTATTCACAGTTCCTGACGTTGCAAAGTTCTCCTGTCTAGGGGGAGTTAAATATTTGAAATCCAGTGTCATAACTATTGTTATCAGTTTCAATACAGTAAAGATAATTTATTTACATATTTATTCGTTGGTGCTGGGGATTGAACCTAGCCCCTTGCTCATGTGTTTACCATTGAGCTACACCCCAGCCAAAGTAGAATTTTTAAAAATTTATTTTATCCCATGCCCCCTCTACTTCCCCTTCCTATGTACAAAAGCTTTTTTTCTATTTTTTCCATTTTACTTTTTTTCTGGTCCCTTCCTTCCTCCCTCTTTCCTTGTTCCCTTTCCATCTGAACTCTTTCTTCCCATTTCCCAACATCCATTATACATTTCGGTTCTTACTTCCACTTTCAGTTTTTCACACCAGAGAAACAATGCAGTATTTAAATATGTGTGTCCGATTTATTTCACTTAAGAGTATGGTCTCAAGGTCCATCCATTTAGCTGTAAATGTCTGAAGTTTGTCCTTCTTTGTGGCAGAGTAGTACTCTATTATATTAAAAAAAATCTTTTATTCACTCATCTGTTGATGGGCATTTGGGCTGTTTCCAAGATTTAGCTATTACAAACTGTGCTGTTATAAACATGGTAGAATTTTTTTTTTTAGGCGCAGTAATTCATTTTATTTTTTTTTTGAAGCAAAACATTTTAGATATATATAAAATAACATTCATCATAGGGAATTTGTAACTACATGATATCTTGTTGCTGCTTTTTTTTCCCATTCCCCTACCTTTCCCTGAATGCCTCTTCCCTTCCTTATTCACAAAAGCTTTGTTTCCATTTTTTCCTTCTATTCTTTTTTTCTTGTCCCTTTTCAGAAATTTTTTAAATTGTACCTTTATTAGTGCGTAATGATTTACATTTTGCTGTACGTAATGATTATATTCATTGTGGATAGTTGGTACATGTACATAACAGTTTAATTCTTTTTACTTCCCCTTCAGACTTTTTTTTTTTTTTTTTTTTTTTTTTTTTTGAGACAGGGTCTTGCTGTGTAGACTCTGGCTGGTTTTAAACCCACTATGTAGTCCAGGCTGTTTTTGACCTTGAGCTCTTCCTGTCTCAGCCTCTTTAAGTACTAGATTATAGGTGTGGACCACAACACCTGGCTTTTTTGTTTTACAGGACTAGGGATCAAACCGAGTGTCTCCTACATGCTAGGCAAGTGCTCTATAATTTAGCCCCAAATCTTGTTGTCTTTTTGTTTGTTTTTTGGTACTGGGGATTGAACTCGGAACCTTGTGCTTGCAAGGCAGGCAGCAGCACCACTGAGCTGAATCCCCGGCCTCCTTTTATTAACTTTTAATAGCTTTCTGGATTGTGATCTTCATCATATTTCGTTAAATTTACTTTTAGTTATTGTGTTAGTTTTTCGTCACTATCAGAATACCTGAGAATAACAATTTAAGGGAGTAAAGGTTTATTTAACTAATTAATTTATTTATTTTGTCTTTTTTTGAGACAGGGTCTCATTTTGTAGTTGAGACTGACCTGGAACTCATTATGTAGCCCAGGCTGGTCTCCAACTCACAGTGATCCTCCTGTCTCAGCCTTCCAAGTACTGGAATTACAGGCGTGTGTGTCACCACGCCCAGCTATTTTGTTATTTAAAAAAAATTTTTGTTTGTTTGTTTTTTTGTTTTGTGGTACCAGGGATGGAACCCAGAACTTTGCCCTTGCAAGGTAGGCGCAGTGCTACTGAGCTAGATTCCTGACCCAGGAAAGGTTTATTTTAGCTCACAGTTTATCAATTCCAATCCATGGTTGGATGGCTGCCCTGCTTTTAGGTCTGTGAGGAGCCAGAAACATCACAACAGAAGAGTGTGGACAATCAAGGCTGTTCATGCCTGGGAGCTAGGGAGAGAGTGAGGAAGAGACTGCGGTTTAGATATGCCCTTCACAGGCACACTTCATGGATCTGCTTTCTCCACTGCACTCTCTCTTTTCTACTGTCATAACTAGGGTCTCCTGATTCTGAAGAATGGAATTGAGGACATACATTGACATAAGAGAGGGGAAGATTTATTGAAAGAAAGCTCCTGATAGATGGGGGGAAGGATCCCTAAAATGAGTGGCCACTGAGGTTCTTTGTCCAAGGGTATTTTATTCACAAAATCACAACTTGGATATCTTTGGTCAGACTATAATCATCCTATAGGATTACACATGTAGTCACTCAGGTAAGATTGATCCAGGAGGGAAGCAAGGCACATGTAGCAAGGGTACATGGGGAGCATCATTAACTTTATCTTACCTTAACTTCTAGTGTAGAAAGAACAAAGACACTGCTGGAAGGAAGGGCAGTATGGGTCCAGGTGTTCTGGTCACCCAGCTATGCAGCTATGCTAGTTATAATACAGTCTCAAATGCTTTTTATTCCTAGGCTATCCTGTCTCCATCCAGAGGCCTGGCTCTCTTCAGATTCATCTCCAGCTGCAACCTTGATGTATCCTCTGCTGCACTGACTCCCTCTTAATTTCTTTCTAATTTAGCTGTCTATAATACTGTTGCCCACCTCCTAGTAGTCTATTCAGCTGTGAACTTGTCAGGTTAATCCCTAGATGAGGTTAGTATCCTGGAATCCAGTCACCTGGAACCCCCACCTCTAAACATTGCTGCATTGGGATCAAGCTTTCAACCCTAATTAATCCTTTTGGGGACATTTTAGAGCTAAACTAGAAAGGGTATATTTGATATTTGCATGCAGTTGTAAATTGACTTTTTAAAAATTGTTTTTAAGAATTCATATTGAATTTTACTGAATTTTGTTCTATATCTTGATGAACACATAATTTCTTTCTTTCTTTTTTTTTCCCCCCCAGTACTGGAGATTGAACTAAGAGTCTTCTCACTTGAGCTACATTGCCAGCCCTTTTTTATTTTAAGGTAGTTTTTTTTTCTTTTGTTTTTTTGAGACATAGTCTCACTATGTAGTTCACGCTGGCTTCAAACTCATGGTGATCCTCCTGCCTCAGCCTTCCCAGTGCTGGGATCACAAGTATGTGCCACCATACCTGGCTTTTTAAAAGTTTTGTGAGACTGGATCTCATTAAATTTCCCAGGCTCTCTTCATACTTGGGAATTTTTTACCTTAACCTCATAGGCTTATATCATCACACCTGCTTGACAATCTCTCTTTTTTTTTTTTTTTTTT